CATTTTCTCCTCCTTTTTTATTTGCCTATATTTATTTTTCTTAATGCTTTTGTATATTACCGATTTGTATATCGAAAGCGCGTTGTCAAACAAAATTTTGCTTTTGCTACATTATAACCTAAATTGAATCAGTGCTTTCCATTAGGTGTTAGTTTCAGTACTCGAGTCGCTCGACGTGACAAACGTTAGGTGTGTCTCGCATTTATATGCCTCACCTTGTTTTCTTGTTGTTTTATCAGATTGCAGACTATTGGCAGAGAGCGCCCTTCTGAATTCAGAAGACTAAATAGAAAAAGCATGCGCGTCCATTATTACAGAAAAATGTAAAAGAAGATATGAAGCCGCATATAATTCCAAGCTTAAATGGTGTGAAAGTAACTGTTAAACTGGCATACATGAGAATGAAATGAATATTAGCGTATGTTGTTCAACGCAGTGTCTACTTCTTCGGAAAAAATCAAACCGCGCCTATGTTTGCTTTACGTGCAAAAGATCTGCTCATCTTGAAACTAATTAACTTTGCAGCGATAAGATAACTTGTTATCTATGATCGGAGAAAAACGTGAGATAAACTGCTAGAAATGCTACGCAAATAATTTCTAGATATTCCTTATACTTTACAATAATATAAACAAATTAAACAAAGCAATTATTTAAACAAAATTAAAACGTTAAATAGATAATGACCTCGAATCCAACCAATATGATTGAGTTTGCATTTAATCTAAAAATGAACGATCACATTTACGATGAAATGTGATTGTATAAAAAATAATTATGTTAAAAAGAGTGGAACGAATAACAATTACTAAACTGTTTATTATGCGCGACAGAAATAATACAAAAGCCAGATTTTACTAAACAAAAGTAATTGATGTAATGTTTATCGAGACAGCGAAATTAATAGAATTACAATGCTCAATCAAAACTTCCAGTTCCAAATTGTTATTGTTAGTAACCAAACTAATACTCCTTTTCGCGCTGGAATCTACCTTCCGTAAATTGTAAATTATTTTTTGTGAATGAAAGGTGCGGGAACAAAGCACCCACGCGCAGATAGATAATGATACCCAAGCTTTCGTGTGTTAGTTTTGACAAGCAAGAAATTTGTAAGTTGTTTTCTTTGTCGCTCTAGGTGGACAATCAGAGGTGGAGAACGTATTTTGAACGTTAACACCAAACACACCAAACTAGTGTACCAATATTAACCACAACGTTACACCATAAACCGAAAATTTTCCATTTATTAATGGTCGTCGTGTCGTGTTTTTTTCTGCTTGCACATTTTTCTTAACATTTGAAGTATACTCTCGTTTATTTAAATTCTTTCCCTCTAATGGAAATTTTAAATTCTTACGCCACATAGGTAACTTCTAGTGTAATCCACTGGTTTAGACGTAAGTTAATTCCTGTAGTAAATTTGTTATTATCTTAGTATAGATTTTTTATTTCCTATAGTTCCTTGTTTTGCCGTTAGAGACTAGTGTTAGAGGTTTCTTTTATCTAGTGCTTTGTCTTGTTGCGAGAGCACAGGCTTTTTCTCATAGACTTTTCTTTTGGATTACGTTTCACGTTGTATCTACCTGGATATTACCTACGCCATACGTGGATGGATGGAATTTTAACTTACCATTAATGAATATTTTTAATAGAGCTTTTCACGAATAAAATGAATTTCCAATATGTAACCGTTAATTCTCAGTTAAATGTGTGTGAAGGCAACACATTTTCTTACTTCATGCTAGCTATTTGATGCAGTGTCTAATTATTGTATCCCAACACATGTGACCTATTGTAATTGTTTTATGTATATTTTATAATGCTTTAATTGTAAATATCCAAGGTACGTAATTTAAGAAGGTAAAGCTACTTACTGAAACTTCGGAACTAACGATTGGGGTATTTTTGTCTTGTTTATTCGAGGTATGCTTAATGATTTCATCGTGAAACTACTACTACTTTTATCTACAATGTGTATTTACGCGAACGGCATGAGGGATAATAACGTGCATTGTGTTTTGGATTACACAACAGACGTACAAAAAAACTAGATACGTAAATATTTATGGATTTTTAACCTAGTACAATAACCAACTAGTACTATCCTGCATGTTCCAATCCGAATAGATTGCATGTGACTGTATAACACAAAAGACCCGAAAGCGACCCGCATATTTGAACCACAAGATATTTCCTACAATTAAAAATGCACCTGTTTGTGGGTGACATTATTTTTTTATTTAGTAAACCCTTTTAAAACATTATTTATAGGAATCTTTTTCTCATATAGGTTGTTTGATTGCGACAGCCATCTTGGATTTTTTTAAATGGCAACATAGCTCACGCGATACGTCATTAGAAGGCCTATTTTTTTCTCTTTCTTACTACCCATTAAACATATGTGGGAAATCATGCCTAAAAATTTGAAAAAACTTGGTCGTTCTTTTGGCTGGCTAATGTTTCATACTTTAAATTAACAGAACGTTAAAAATTAAAAAAAAAATAATGAGCAGGTGTTTAATAAGTGACAAAAACACCGTATGTATGGCGAGATGTATGGTTTGTGTCCTTACAACTATTGTATTACGTGAGAAATAATTTTTAATTTTCTGAAATATGGGCCATTCGACAGAGTTTTATCTCCGTTATTTTCTAATTTAACAATTAACGATTAAAGTCGTGAGAAAGAGAAAAAAAAAGCTTCTTAATGAAGTATCACATGATCTATGTTGTCATTTAAACAAATTCAAGGTGGCGGTCGCACAACACCCTGCATATAAAACAAATTTTTTAAATCTCAAAATATATCAAATATTTATTGCCTTTATTTTATAGTGGGCGGAGTGTTAGCAATTTGCTATTCTTCTCACTCAACCCACTATACAATCATAAAGAGCCATGCCTTACCTGGGATTCGAACCCAGGACCCTTGTAGCCAAAGTTAGAGCTTCTAACGTTCAAATGGAAGCGTTTTAATTTGCATGTCTATATCTCAAACGGTTGGGTGTTTGAACCCATCTGAAGATGGCCCCGCCCACATGAAATAATTTGACAAAAATGTGTCGACAGTTAGTGCTCCTTAGTGCTCGAAACTTATCGTTAGTAAAAGTACGAGAAAAATAAAAAAACCGGGGCGGGGCCAACTTCACACTCAACTTTTATTTATCGAACCCACACGGCGTTAGTGCTATGTTAGTGCTATTAAATGCCAGACCAACAATATCTCAAATTCTTTCGCTGTTTCTAAAAAAGTCAAGTGTGAAGTTAGCCCCGCCCATACATTTTTAATTGGATGGAACCACATGTAATTCTTAGTGCTAGGTTAGTGCTGTTTTGTGCCCAAAAATTGCGATTCCAGCATTTCATCTTTCCTAGAAAAACGAAAAAAACTAAAATATTGTGTGAAGTTGGTCCCGCCCATGACTCGTTTCAAAAAAAAACTAATACGATCGCTAGTGCTACGTTATTGCTCTTTTGTGCTCGAATATTGCGAGTTTAACGATTTACCTTTCCAAAAAAAAACGAAAAAAATTAAAATATTGTGTAAAGTTGGCCCCGCCCATGACTCGTTTTAAAAAAAAACTAATACGATAGTTAGTGCTACGTTAGTGCTCTTTTGTGCCTGATGGAGTTTAGTTCAGATTACTGTTCTAAAACTTCAAAAACATAATGGAAAACAAGGTTTTGTTTGTCTTTAGATCTTAAATGTGTATAGCTATACCCGGATGCGTATATAGCTCCGCAACTCTATGGTTTACATTATCTAGGATCGATCTGGATAAAAAAATAAAGAACCTATCTATTGACTGGAGCCAACTTCACAAAATATTTCAGTTTTTTTCGGTTTTCTTGGAAAGGTAAAACGTTAGACTCGCAATATTCGAGCAAAAAAGAGCAATAACGTAGCACTAACGATCGTATTAGTTTTTTAATTAAAAAACGAGTCATGGGCGGGAGCCAACTTCACACAATATTTTAGTTTTATTCGTTTTTCTTGGAAAGGTAAAACGATAGACTCGCAATATTCGACCACAAAAGAGCACTAACGTAGCACTAACGATCATATTAGTTTTTTTTTAAAAACGAGTCATGTGTGGGGCCAACATCACACAATACAATAGCTTTTTCGTTTTTCTTGGAAAAATGAAATGCAATTTTTGAGCACTAACCTAGCACTAACAATCATATGTGGTTTCATCTAATTAAAAATGTATGGGCGGGGCTAACTTATTCACACTTGACTTTTTTAGGAACAGTAAAAGAATTTGAGATACTGTTTGTATAAATATAGCACTAACGCCGTATGCGTTCGTTATTTCGATAAATAAAAGTTGAGTGTAAAGTTGGCCCCGCCTCGGTTTGTTTAATTTTTGTCATATGTAGCAGCAGTAGGGAATGCAATACCGGGATTGCGGGATCCAGAAATACCGGGATCCCGCAGCATTTTTGCGAGATTAATCCCGCACATAAATGGAGCGGGATCCCGCGGAATTTGCGGCACTGAAGAATTTGTCGACCAAGGGGACGCCTCTGTTTACTTTGTTAATGAAACTGACAACGGCGAATTATTTTTTAAATAATTGTCAAACTTTTTTCGTTTAACCTTCCTAATACCAGGTGGGGCGAATATTCGCCCCAGCATGCCTATTTACGTGGATATTTTTGTTTTTAGTCTACTTACGGGGTTGTCCTCATAGCACATTGTTCTTTACAATCTTAGGAAGCAACTAAACCAAACATGTCTAAATTATTTTTAAAAATAATGAGATTATTATAAAAAAAGCTGAGCGTACTGCATGTGGGGCGAGTAATCGCCCCACGTGGTATTTGGTGTCTGTGATTTGTAATATCATTATTGCCCACAATTATTTCGAAATTTAACGATTATTTAATTACTGATATGGAAATTACACATTCGGGTTGTATATGCAGTTTGGAATTTTGGCCTAATTAGTTTCTATTCATTCAAAGCATCATTAGCGGAAACAATACTAATCTTCTCATTACCTTCCTATTGTATCTACATATACATTTCCGAAAGAAAAGGTGGATTTATTTATAATGATATCTGAAATAATAATTGAAACAATTACCTAATGACCCGGTCATTATATCTCAATGTAAGGTGTATATAAATCATAATACTTCCTTTTCCAAGTTTTATTTGTGCCCTTGGTAGCAAAGTGAAAAGACCACAGAAAGTTTTGAAAGTGTATTTTGAAAATGGCGACAGTTTCGTCAAGAACAAGAAAAATTGTACAGTTGATAGCAGCTGCTCAGAATTCTGGTGAGTAAATTGAAGAAACTATTACTGAATGTGATTGCAAAGTTTGTAATTATTCAAACCTAGTGAATGTTATCAATTTTAGAGGAATATGATAACTGCGTGGACGACGACTTAGACGCGGAGCCTATTGATGATAGTTCAGAAGTGGAGGATAACATAGAAACCATCATAGAAGAAAGGGATGAGATCACCGGCGATTCCACTGATGATGAAGAAATGATGGATATTGACCTACAAGGAGAAGAGATATGGTTCGGTAAAGATGAAACGTTTTGGCTAAAGACACCTCTTGCAAGAAAACGAATTCGGTCAAAAAATGTAATCAGAAGTGCCGCCGGTGTTCACCGTAGCGTACCTCCATCCACAAGTATGATAGAGCTGTTCAAATTGTTTATTTCTGCAGATATTATGCGAGACCTGGTGACTTTTACAAATCAGCGAGGCCGTTTTGAGGTCGAAAACCGCATTAGGGCTGGGAAGACGATGGTTTACAAAGACGTTGACGAAATTGAAATTTACGCATATATTGGATTGCTGATATGCGCTGGTGCGTTGAAGAGTAATCGAGAACCTGTGGGAATGCTATGGCAAGATGACCATTGTTTCAAGAGACCGATATATTCTGCAACAATGCCACGGACCAGATTTTCACAAATAACCAGCTGGATGCGGTTTGATGATAAAGATACGCGGGAACAACGTAGGCAATACGACAAACTGGCACCTATTCGAAACGTGCTTGAAATGTTTGTAAATAACTGTCAAAAATACTATAACCCGGGTTCTCATCTTACAATTGATGAACAATTAGTGCCGTTTCGTGGCCGATGCCCCTTTAGAGTATACATGAAAAGTAAACCAGCAAAATATGGAATTAAAATCTGGTGTCTTGCAGATGTTGATACTGCTTATTGCAAGAACTTACAAGTGTATTTGGGGAAACAAGGAAATACTCCGGAACGCGACCAAGGAAGAAGAGTAGTTTTAGATTTGGTATCCGTTCTAAGTCCTGGTCACGGTATTACGACGGATAACTTTTTTACTTCATTGGAATTAGTCGAAGATCTCCTCGACAAAAAAATGACACTATGCGGAACGCTACGAAAGAATAAAACGTGCATTCCTCCTGAGTTTATGCCTACCCGAAAACGTGAAATTTATTCCTCAATTTTTGGATTCCAGCCGGAGATCACAATGGTGTCTTACGTCCCAAAAGTAAACCAAAGTGTTATACTATTATCTTCTGAACATCGAGATTCTGCAATTTCCGAAGGTAGTAAAAGAAAACCAGAGATAATAACACATTACAATGCTACAAAGGGTGCCGTAGATACACTGGATAAGATGATTGCCGAATACACCTGCAATAGACAATCCAAAAGGTGGCCAGCTACGTTATTTATGAACATCATTGACATTGCAGCAGTAAATGCCTTCGTGATGTGGGTTCATCTCAACCCTGAATGGGAACGCCAATATTTGGATAAAAGAAGGATGTTTTTGTTAGAATTGGGCAAACGGCTTGTACAGCCTCACTTACAAAGAAGAATAAGCGATCCAACAATCAAATCTCGTCTAACCATCAACACACGGCAAAATATCAAGAATATATTGGAAGAACTGGGAGATCACCACAATGTACAAGAACCCGAAGAAGACGCAAATCCACCAAAAGTAAAAAGCAAAGGAAGGTGCCATATTTGCCCAAGGAAGAAAGATTGCAAATATCAATCACTATGTCACAAATGTAATAATATTGTGTGTCCATCGCACAGCAATACTATAAAAATATGTAATAAATGTAAATGATTTTTTTAAATTAGAAAAATTTCAATAAAATTATATTTTTTAAATGTTTACATTATTTCTAGTAATAGTTATTACTAAAAACGTTTTCAAAATTATTATATCTCACATTATTCCCTCTTTTATATCATTTTAACATTAATTTTGTATTAAATCTGCAAAAACAACACTGGGGCGACAATTCGCCCCACCTGGTACTAGGTGTTTTAAAATTGACCTGGTATTAGGAAGGTTAAAAATGTACTATGATTTTTGAGGCACTTTAAAAGACTTTTTGTGCTTTACAGGTAAGGTTTTTTTGAGTTCTAAGTTAGGCCGAAGGTACTTTTTTGTTAAATATTGTGATAATTAGCGATTTATTTTAATACAGAAGTTAACCGCACAGAATTGCTTATTTGCCACGAGATCCCGCAAATTTCGGGATCCCGCGGGATTAACATCTAACAATCCCGCAAATACCGAGATTGAGATTTTGCTGCGGGATTGCATTCCCTACTAGAAACCAATTTCGAAAGAAAATTCAAAGGGCTGTAACTTTTGAACTACTAGCCCAATCTTGGAACTGTTTGAAATTATGGATTCTACAAGCCACATTCTAAAAGAAAAATTTTTTTCCGGGTCGATCTGAGACAATTTTTTTTGAGGGCCTCAAAAAAAGGCAGTGTATAACCTTCCTTCTTTACCAAAAATCGACTGCACCAAAATTTCTCGGGAAAACACTTTTTCTTATTAATTTTGGTGCGTAGAATCCAAAACAATTCGTACTTTTTCGATTGGACTTGTCAATCAAAAGATATACACTAGAAACCAATTCCGAAAAAAATTCAAAGGGCTGTAACTTTTGAACTAGTAGCCCAATCTTGGAACTGTTTGAAATTATGGATTCTACAGGCCACATTCTATAAGAAAATTTTTTTTGCGGGTCGATCTGAGACAATTTTTTTTCGGGGCTCAAAAAAAGGCAGTGTATAACCTTCCTTTTTTACCAAAAATCGACTACACCAAAATTTCTCGGGGAAACACTTTTTCTTATTAATTTTGGTGCGTAGAATCCAAAACAATTCGTACTTTTTCGATCAGACTTCTCAGTCAAAAGTTATAGACTAGAACCTAGGGAATGCAATACCGGGATTGCGGGATCCCGAAATACCGGGATCCCGCAGCATTTTTGCGAGATTAATCCCGCACATAAATGGAGCGGGATCCCGCGGGATTTGCGGAACTGAGGAATTTGTCGACCAAGGGGACGACTCTGTTTACTTTGTTAATGAAACTGATAACGGCGAATTATTTTTTAAATAATTGTTAAACTTTTTTCGTTAAAAATGTACTACCTATGATTTTTGAGGCACTTTAGAAGACTTTTTGTGCTTTACAGGTGAGGTTTTTTTGAGTTCTAAGTTAGGCCGAAGGTACTTTTTTGTTAAATATTGTGATAATTAGCGATTTATTTTAATATAGAAGTTAGCCGCACAGAATTGCTTATTTGCCAATTTATTTAAAGTTTTGCGAGATCCCGCAAATACCGGGATCCCGCGGAATTAACATCTAACAATCCCGCAAATACCGAGATTGAGATTTTGCTGCGGGATTGCATTCCCTAAGCAACACTAACGATAAGCTTCGAGCACTAAAAAGCACTAACGTAGCACTAACTGGCGACATTTTTGTCAAATTATTTCATGTGATGGAGCCAACTTCAAATGGGTAATAGCGACCCTGTATAATAAGGCATCCCAGGCAGGTACTTAATAATGTTACAAGACAAGACGATAAACGCGAGGAGGATCCGATCACAGGGTCCAGAAAAATACGCCCGGTGGACAAGTCGCTAGTTGGATCCTACAGTTTGGAATGAAAGAGAATCATCTAACCAACTGAAAGTATGTAAAACAATGTAAGGGAAACAAGCATTAAATAAGGGTACAATACGAAGGTAATTGGTGAAAAGGATTAAACACCCTTACCGATAACTACCTATGCCAAGGCAAACAGAGCAGATTTGACAGAGCATTTCCATAGTAATAGCAAACTCACCTAATAATCAAAAGCATTGGGGGAATATTTGGGACAAAGTTTAGGTGGTTGTTATCACACTTGTACTTTAGAAATATTTGTGAAAGAAATTGATTTGAAACCGTCCCTTATATGAATATTTTGTAGAGAGTTTGTATTTATTAACTACCTCGGAATTGAAGTCATAAATTATGCATCGTACTTTGACCCACTTAATAAACATCGAAAATATTAAACTCGATGAAATGAAATTCTCTGTATACCGCGCACCACTGCACAACCAAATACCAAATTCCATTATGCAACGCCGTCAAAGTGTACAATATTCTTATCCATCTAACATCAAGAATGTATCGTAAATTTGAAACTCTAAATAACGAGGGGCTGACGCAAAATAAATAAAAAATATTTTGATATTATGCCTTTGCAAAACAACGCGAAATATCATTGTATTTCATTGAAACGTGGTTAATAATCTCCGGAAAATTTCTAATTTTAATTATAAACGAATGCAGGATTGTTTTCCAACGGCGCGAGATCCACCCTTGAGCACAGGCAGGAGTCAGATTGGCTCCGCGTTGATTAATCGCAAATTGCATTTCCTCCTACGTGTATTTTTCAGTTGAATAAAATTAATGTTGAAATTTAAGATGTGATTGGAATTGTACTGCACTGTACTTTGCATTTTAAAATTAACTGAATGGAATGGAAATTAACAATGACGTCAATGTCTAAAGCAAACGAATATTGGTGCATAGCTTACAGATTCGTATGGTAGGGGTAAGGGATAGTTCCATCTCACTTTACCTATGCGACTTCATAACGTCTACTAAGAAAAAAAATGTTGGGACCTCGTCATGATGAGGAAGGTTTGCAGTTAGCGACGAAGTTCATTCATCCCTTATTTCGATTATTACTCGTAAAAAACCATCCATTTTAACAGGGTCCGTGAAGTGAGCTGGACATGAAAAGCACAAACAACGGATTTAGATTTATTCGTTTGTGCTTATTTTAACAACTGGGAGTTATTGGTTACAACATAAAATGCAGTTTTCAGCATTAGCACTATAGTTGTTTTTTGGACATCAAAATCAAAAAAATCTCGATTTTTTTTCAAAAATCAAAGAAACGGATTTATTTACCTTGCTAAGCTAATACCTTATTTTTGTTAATTTATTTATAATTATCATGTTCAATCTCAGTATGACGTCAAGTATATTTGGGGTAGACAGACCGTCACTTCTGCCGAATTGAAGACTGGAAACTTTACCCCTCAAATGAGTAAAAGCATCGCTATTCCTAATCAGTCTTTCGTTTATATACTCGTACAATCAATTTCTTTCCGTATTTAAACAATTGTGACCTACTTGTAAAAACATTTCATAATAATTAATGTGCATTAATTCACTGACCTAGTGATAATTCCTTGCAATACTTGAGATCAAAATTGAAGAGGCAGAAATTTCCTACAAGAAATGTGCTTATCATATTTTTGCTAAAGTGAGCCGTTTAGGCTCAAGAGCTGATTGAATGACGAACATAATATTCTGTTAATTTCTATAAACTGCCCCTATCTCCATATACCTATGGGTATAAATTTATCTTTGTGAAAATATCAGTCAAGTGACACTGGACCAATTCGATGAAGAAGACCCCCATTCGCTGCTTGATGATTCTTTATCGACTGCAGTCTGCAGAAGGAGAGTCCGAAGAGTTGAAGGAAATCGACATCGATTCTGAAGCTGAGGTAACCATTTTCCCCGTTGAAGATATGGAAATAAGATCCGTCTGGCCTTTGCCAAAAATAATTTTAGCACCCAAGTGGATTAGGCCTACAGGGGAAACCACGTTAAAAAAATGCGCCGTGTACTTTACCTCTTTGGTGGTTAATTGATCATAAATTATTAACATCTATTAATTAATGAATTAATCGATAAATTGAATAAAAGATATGCCATTATTCCGCGATAAATATTTACTAGGAACATATTTTATAGGAAACTTCCTTCTCTTTCATTTTGCGCTCTACATACTTTTTCGAAAAACGCAGTTTTGGAGATATTTGCAAAAAACCGTTTTCGGGCGCCATCTTGGCAAGATGGCGGCGCCGACGGCATGTCTCGGATTGTGCATTTTGTGAATTTTAGTTCTAGATCCCAAAACCTATAAACCTACAAGGTTTCAACACTTCCGGACTTATTTCCAGGTAAAAATCCCCAATGACTGGCCTACAGTGCAACTTTGGACAAGTGGAACACCCTCTATTTTAGAATTTTTTTATTAATTGCACACAAAGTTGTTTATTGCGGAAGTTTAAGTTTATGCCGTCATTTATCTACATTTCCTTTTTGTTACCAAAAATATCGGAATTGGGTGAATTCCCGCGCCGGCCCCTGTGGCGCAGGTGAAGCTCGACTGCGGTACTAAGGGTCCTTGGTTCGAATCCGGGTTCGTGCTTGGATATTTGTAAGTGTATAGTGCGTTGGCTTGGTAGAGCAGCCCTTGGCTTAAACTCGCCTACTGAAAAATAACCAATAAATAAATATATTAATAATTTTTTTCGCGAATATTTCGTATTGTACCTCCGCTTCCACAATGTAATCTATTAATGACGCACCGGAAAGCGATACCGAAACCGAATTAGTTCCTGCAAGTTCCGCTTAGCAATCAACACTCCACTCCACTCCTACCTAACGTATGACCCAAATCGATAAATGAAATCCTCTCAACCTACCTACTCCATACCTTACCCAAACTTACAGCTATACCGGGTGGTACACGGTAAGTAGGAACATAGGGATTTAACATGGGAAATTAGTTTTATCATTGAATAATAGTGTTTTTATTCAATGGTTTTATGCAATATCCTGCCCTCCTGTACATTTTACAGAAAAAACTGTAGAGTTTAAAGTTGTTCAGAATTAAAAGGTACATACAAAACTGTTTTTATGTTTTTTATTGAGCTTTTGGTATACCCGCAAATTTAAAAATAAATTTCAACATTTCTGTTATTTAGTAGCAATAGCCATGACTTTTGTTGTTTTATGAAAACCAAATTGTAAAACCAAACTTCTACTAAATGAGTTCACACGTAATAATTTGTTTATTGAATACAGTGCGGTCAAGTTGCACAAATCGATACCTTTAAGAACTTTTTTGCTACTACTTTCATAAAATACTTTTTACGTGATCTCTTAAAGAGAACAAATCAAGTAAAGTTACAGTACCTTACGTAGAGCGTTCTCTGGAAACCATGGTTTTCCTACAGTATCTTCTCATAGAGATGGTACCTTCGAAGTGGATGATGGATCACGGAACCTGGACTGACAATGATGTTCTCAGAATTCTTTTGGAGATAGGGGCTCCTGGTGTAATTTATCGGGGATTGAATAGTCTATGTTTACTGTCTTCCGTAGCTTTGGTTTTCACAATACGAAATGTTACTAACTGATTTCAAACTCAAACTGCAAGCGATTTAAATTAACTTTCCAACGGGAAACATTTTAAATTAGTCGCGACTGTCACTCTAAGTCTTTATTAATTTACCGGAACGTGCGCTTCCAATTTTTAGATAGTTCTAGAGGTGCAATTTAACACATGCTGGTTTTAATGAAATAAGTTTATTTCCCTTTAACTTTCACAACAATCCTACGACAGGTTTGGTTGGCCGCCAATGAATTGTCGAGCACGTTTTCTACCGGTTTTTAGTTTTATACGTACAATTTTTCTTGAGCGGTTTAGATGACATTAAGTAATTTGGTTAACGAAACGCCTTCTTGGCTTACATTATACCGCCCTGTAATTAATCTGTTATCTTCATTATCGACAGTGAACTTTGGGTAAAAAATAACGCTTAAACTGACCGAAAGAATTTATTCCTTACATGACTTTCTCGTGGTTCAAAACCGAATGCCCCCTCGCTATTCTTTCTAGAGTAATCCTTACCTTGGTTTATTAAATTTTAGCACCATAATTAGTGAACGCAACCATCTATAATCATCAAAGAGTCGGATTTGTTCAGTGCCACGAATCCTGTATACCAAAATCCACGACCGTTTGATATTGCCAATTAAGCGCTTCACACGAACTCGCATCTTATCATTCTCTATCATCCTCATTTAATTGTGGGCACGTAAAATCCATCAAAATTGTATTATCCCCTATTAACGCCTGTCCGACTGTAGCCCGTAACTTTGCCAGGTTATAGTTCACAATGGGACGGACCGGACCTACCGATTACTTTCATTTCTCCTAATTTACTATTAGATTCCTATTTAAGGGATGCAGATTTCAGCTGGTGTTATACTCTTTTCAGGTACTTTTCCATTCCTCAGGATAGTAAACACACTTATTTTCCTCCCTTTAATTTAATGAATTGCAACTGACGTTTAGATTACTCTTCCATATCTGATTTTTTTCTACGCTCTGAAACCTCCCCTTGATTCCCATAAGTATAAATAACGAATCGCAATTGTAATAAAATGACTATCTCTGTAACCATACGGCGGTCTTGGCAGCCAACTCCTTGCCAAATAGTTAAAAAATTGTCCATTTACTCCGTGTTATGGCAATAGATAGACACGACTTGCGGATATCGTTTAAAGCAGACAAAGATTGGCAAAACCGAACGCGAAACAGTGTTTAATTGTTAAAAATAATCTACTTTCGTAACAAATTTGTTGCGAACATAAAACTGCCGTAAAAAACCTTTACTGCGTTCAAATCTTGTGGGTCTTCCGGGTTTATTTACTGACAGAAGGAAACTGGCAATAGTAACGGCATCCCTACAGAATACTTTTAAATGTCTAATGTCAAAGGTTCTGAGACTAAAGTTCTTAACAGACTTCAAGGGAATAAAAGAATTACTTGCTTTGTTTTCTTTAGAGGTGAAAACTCTGCTTTTACCTTTGAATTTAACATAGAAGTTATAGGCATCGAAAGCGTTTCTTTGATTAAAAAACAATTTTCTCCTAAATAACGCAGCGGGGTGCACATTTTACAGCAGGCTTGATTCCTTTTTTTATACAAGCGTACCAGTTTTGTATCAATGTGCTTTTGCAGTGCTTCGTAACTTGTAAGGGAACAAATTTAACATGCTTCCATACTATTTAATTTTTATAAAACCAACGTAATTACCGAGCGATAGACAGCCTAGAAAGTTTTCCAGTATATCCTTCCAACCATTAAAGTTTAAAATTTAATTAGCGTCACAACTCTTTTCGCTCGAATTTCTTAATTATTATAAAATTGCCAGCACAAAAGTGTTGCGAACGTTGTCTAGTTTTTCATCGTGATAATAATGGAGTGCGGATTTCTATGGCTTTTGTAGATAAGCCAATTTCGATAAAATCCTCAAGGATCACAAAGATATGCTGCTAAACAGTTATATAAAGTCTGAGATGTGTATGAAATGGGCAAAATGTGGAAGTATGCGCTTTTCTCCTACCTGAGGTAATTTCTCAAGCGGAAAACCAATTTAATTTGTTACTAAAGGGGCAGGGTTATAAATAAAATTATTGTAGCCGTCTATAACGACCTACGTACCTTAATAATTCCCTAGAATTTTAGATTTTACCTTTTTGTCAAAGCTAATTTAGTTTCCTTTTGTACGACTCTTGTCGCAAACATTTCTGTAGTACATGGGCAAGGTAGTGTAGAAGCGAGGAGGGAGCTAATTACATTGTGGGGCAGCAAAAAAAAAGTATATTTTATTTATTTACGATGCAGAGTGATACAAATCCCAAAAGGTCCATAACTTGAAAACGGCTTATCTGGTTTTGGAATTCCTTCACCGAGGTGATTCTATAACTCAGGCGGGAAGCTGATTAGATTTTAGCGTCCGTTGCCAATACCTGCCACATTTGTGCAAGAAATCGAAATTTTTATTCTGTATTGAAGTTTCCCGTGAGATTCTTATACGTGGTTTATGTTTACATTCATTCGTAATTGGGAATAAAGACGCATCTTAGATTAAATATATCCTTTTTGGTTAGATAAATTGTTATTGTTATTCACCTTAGCAACTTATATTTTTAATCAATTTGGAAGTAAACCTCCCCTTTCTTCTGCTTAAAATGTAATTGGAATTTTTATTCTGTATGGTGTTTGGTTAAACAAATAAATAAACAAATAAAATTTGTAATTTGTTTATATACCCATCCCCAGGGCCGGATTTACCATGGGGTCATGCGGGCCCGGGCCCATTGCGGAAAATATTTAGGGAGGCAAAAAAACAGATTTGGGAAATAATTCTACAGTACTATCGTGGAAAAATAACATATCCTATTAAGAAATTGAAGTTGGAATGTTACGCACACTCTTACCAACTTAAAAGTACCTAATCATGAAATATGGAGTAACATAACCTCACATTTCGGCGAAATTATGTGAAATTTTGCAAAATTTGAGGCTTCTCCCGCAAATTTTTTTTGTTGAAACCGCTTCATTCTCCGAATTTTCTGAAACACGATTCAGGTGTTACATGTTTGTATATTGGATTTCATTGTTTAAACTGTAAAATAAACTTGAATACGTTATTTAAAATTAAAGTCTTTTATTATTTTGGAAAACACTTCTGAATTTCACATTGTAAATTTTACGGAATAACGTATACTATTATAAGTAAAATTATATATAGCCCCATGATCACCTCCTGTTGATGTAATTATGCGAAAATATTAATAAAAAACAAGTAAATCTCTAAAAATTACAGTTATGTGTTTGTAGTTCAAACAACAGACATGATATTATATTTTGTTTCAATAACACTATAAATCTCATAATTAATATAAAAAAATGTATTTACTGTTACCTAATTAAATCCATCTGAGCAAATTAGGAGGAAAAAAAATTGCGTATCAAATGTTTAAAATTTAGGCGTTCTAAATTACTTTC